TATATATATTCATCCCACTCTCCCCTAAACTTCCCTAAACCCCCCTCCTGATATCCAAAGCAAAGCAAACTGAAAAAAACATTCGCGCACTGACAGGCCATGTTGACAAATTTGTCAACCAACGGACGGCTTCCCTTTGATGCAGAAGCCTGTGCTAAAATTATCTTGGTCAGAAGAACGGTCAACACAATGGAGATATTCGAAGCATTGTTTATGCGTGTATGCACACACATATGGACAGAACAATGAACACACAAGGGCGCTAATTCAGAATGTGGATTACTGAAGCTGTAATATATAGAGAAACGCAAGTAAAACGAAAAAGGGGTTAAACACTATGGCAAAGGACTGGGACAAATATGACACATCATATGGGTCCATATAACGCAAAAAACTACTATCTAGGGGTAAGAATTTTTATGCACAACCTGGCATACATATATTGGATAGTGTTATCTAATCTGATAGGTGATCTGGTACCTCACATCGGAAGCCCAAGGGTGACCCCCAAGTTACGAAACTGATTAGTGTTCCAACATGAAGCTGACGCATGGCACTGAGATCACTTCGGATGACTGCTGACTGAGTGGAGCTTGTGTTTGCACATGTTTAGAATGAGTCTAAGAACGACCTGTGATGAACTCGAGTATCGATCTCCAGATAAGAGAGCCCCAGAGTACAAATGCGGAAAGCTATCAAAACGATCCCGTGGCAAGCATAAAAGCCCGTAAGCATCTAGGTCATAACACGATACGTGGCTTGACATAAAGCTTCACCGGACTTCGTACCATAGAGATGTTCTACCAAAATTTCTCGGTTGTGTGCAGTCGGCGAGGGGACATGCATTAAGTGTTTTATTCGAATCGGTGAGAAGTTGAGTGGAGTCAAGTCTACTGATCTCAAGGGCCAGCCGACTGGTTCACTCTCAGATCGCGATGGTCTCCTCCTCGCACCGAACTTCTTCGGAGCACTTCCTTCCGCCTGAATACGCAGGAGTCCGACAGTGACATACAGGAAGAAGCCGGGGGTGTCGGAATCGGAGAGATAAAGCTCTAGATATCATATTTTTTTTAAAAGAGACAAGCGACTGGATGATTTTTGCACCAAGAATTCCAGCTCATACCATAATTTTCGGAGCTTGCTGGATTCGCGAGTTTCAGCACCGACGTGTTAATTTACAAAGCGGAAACAGAATTTAGACCACCTCTCTAGATCCTCTTGAGCATGCAGTTCTTCAAACTTCCGAAAAATCTTTACTACATATGCTGAAGCAGTGCACCATCCACTACTCTCCTTTGACTCAAGTGTGAACCTCTTGGACTATTTTATCAACGAAAGTCTGGCGATGGATCGAAACGATCAGTCCTTTTTATCTTGCGCACACTATCAATTTCCCGGAACTGGTAATGAGCTCTCCCACGTATGTCAGGGACGCACTGTGCACCACAGGATAGGTCATTGAGACATGGGGCGGCAACCTCTTCGTGGTATCGGCGCTCAGTATACGGACAATACCCACTCGCTGGTCTGTTGACAGATACACCGAACAAGCCTGGATGACTGAACTCCCTGGAACTGATTACTGGCGATTCACCGGTGAGGAACGCGAACGAATGTCAACGTCAATGTCAATGCAACTCGACCACTATCAGTCGGCATTTTGACCGACAGCTTTGTTTCATCCAATAGTGACCAACGGGCTCATTTGACTTGGTAACAATTACAGCTGCAACGAAAAATTTGCTTCTGCCAGTGCCACAGGGACTGAAAATAGGCAAAAAGAGTACGTTAATTGTTGAGGAAGTGCACAAATTTTATTTCTTTTCCAGACTAATACTGACGAATAACTTCGTCATTTCGAGCTAAATCGATAACAGGCTTGGTTGAGTATCATGATGAGCACTGGCGTCGCTTGAATTGGTTTATGAATTTCTTTAATGTGTGGCACGTTAATGTAGGAATCCAAAAAATCGCTCATTGACGGCCACCACCTAACCAAGCTTCTCTAGATCTAAGACATGGAAACGAAGTGAATGGCCTGGTAAGGAAAAATGTGACAAGATTTACCACGACAAACCTTTTTGGTTACCTCTAGTTCAAGATACAAGGAATTCTTAGAGAAATCAGTGAAAGGGGCTTGTGAAGAAGTTTGTGGGTAATGTCCACAGTTCCATTCAATATCACACCAAAAAACTCGCAGAATAGTAGGCTTACTTTTGACAGATACACAGTATATCTTCACCCACTGACGAAGGGATATGATATTCATGCGAAAGATGACCACCGATAGGACCCGCACATGCGAGTACTAAAAATGGAAAAGAACGAATGCAGCTCAACGGATCAAACGAAGGCAGCCAACTGAGATTCACTGAAAACTTGGTTCCTGAAAGCTTTCCGTATCTTTTCTACTAAAGTTAGTGCGATTTTCTCAACTGTATGCCACCGCACGGAGTTGCTTGCCCCCGCATCCAATGAGGTTTGATTATGTCTCGTAGTTGGGAGGAAGAAGCCATCAGATCCTGTAAGGTCTTTTCTCGCAAACATCGTTGTGATTCAGAAGACAGTGGTGGCAGTAACGAGTCAATGACCATGGTTGGTCACAGCGTCTCCTCACGTGTTACATGAAATCGTTTGTGCTGTTGTCACTGACAATCATTACTTCACCAAAGAAGGAAAGCAGGAGCGTCAACAGATCATCTGGTTATTGATGCAACCAGCCCAGTCAGTCAGTTGTTCCCTTGTAGCACCATTTCGACGCGCAGCCTCCATGTCATCTGAAGGAGGCATAAGGGCTGATATACTGCTAAGTTGCCCAAGCCTAGACAAAAGAAACCAAGATGCTGGTGTGGATTAGAACCACGGACCCTCCAGTCACTAAGATCGAGCTCTAACCACTGAGCTATCTTGAGCCACCCATTCTTGTTTCAATCATCCACCCATGCCATGGCGATACTGAGAGCTACGCGAAGCTGGTGGGCGAAGCTGACGGAGGTTGGGATTCTCTATTTGATTTCTCATAGATATGTTCGGACTAACTAACCAGTAACTCAAGCGAAAAAGGCAACCGACAGCCAACAACCCCCGACGACCTCCTAGCACACTGGTTAATAAATGAAATATCGAGCGAATTAACAGAACGATGCAGACGGAATCAGATGACTGCACTGAAAAAGACTGACATGGTACAGGCAACATTTAGCTTGACGGGTGAAGTCAACACAGCCGTCGGGAGTGGCATGAAAAAGACTAGTTCCATCTAGTGATTGCTTTTCATTAAATACTAAAGTAGGAAGGCATCCGCACTTGCACAATAATATCACAGATGGGAACACGGACGAAAACGACAGATTATTCACTGACGAATCTTCAGGACAACCCGGGTCTCAGGAGAACATATAACATTGCCACATCATTTTTCGGAAGCAAAAGATCAGAGACACCGTCTAGGTGGAAGCAAACCGAAAATCACCTGTTTCTCAGAGCGTTAATACATGTAGAGTCCGACCGGATGAGTTTTAAATCCTGGTAAACTGCGGAGACTTCGCTCGGGACTTTCAAAAGACTGGACAAAACTAGTCCGTCAAACTAATGATAGTGTCGGTCGAGCGTTGATTGATATGGGATTTCGCCCTAGAACTTATGAGTTTACGTGTCTCGGTGTCATTCAATATCACCCTTTAACCTTGCTTCGATCAGTAGGGATACTCCAATAAAACTGATGTTAATATAATCTGTGAATGCCAAAAAAATAAAAGGCACTTGCGTTTCTGAAAATTAATTTTGTCATATAATGATCCGGGGGCAACGTAGAAAAGGGGATTTCCACGGGGAGACACTAATGTGCGCCAAGTTCCGGAAACTCGAGGTATTCAAGCTTACTACTGGTCTTTCCTTAAGCGTAAAAAATCAACACGTTGCACTCAGCGAGTCAATGAATTGAAACGCAACGGTCAGGTAACTGCGAACTTACTGTTTCGAACTGCATACAGCATGTGACGGGCAAAATTCGCATCCGTAATGAACACCGCCACACCAATATGCCAATAAATGGCAACAATCTATTCAGGAATCATTCTCTTCTCGAACAACTACCAGTTTAGTACAAACGACTTTAACTAAATTAGTAGAGATCTAAAGACAGGGAACATCGTATCAATAAAACTGGAGTCCAACATTCGGCCGAGGAGCACATACAAACTTACCTTTATGATATGGTAATCGGAGGTCGGACAATAGTTCGGAATATGCATTGGAGATCGAATGATACGTGTCTAGAGCTGAATCTGGACATCTGTCGAAGCTGTACATGTCTACATCGGATCGGTTAGGAGTGGTCGCATGTGATGTAGCTACCTTTCATGATGAACTCCCGGCACCGAATAAGACCATAACGTGGTCGAAGTTCATCGCGAAATTTGTTAGAAATCTGGAGGTGATATATTAGATTTGTCCAAGGCCAAGAACATTATTCCAACCTGATACAAAAGTAGAGGAAGATCTTTGTAGGAGATTTCAAGTGAGCCTACCAAAGATGTGATCTCTTCCTCGTGTGTCTACAAGAACCGTGAGAGCAGGTGATAGAGCAAGCGTCCTTACGGGTTGCAAACAGTACTGCTTGCCATTCCGGTCATGGAGTTTAAACAACTGTCCGGCATCATTCCATCGACCTTGGTGAAGTAATACAACAATGAAAGCACAGGAGAGAACGTACCTGATTTAGACCAGATTCGCTCATCACCAAGCGTAGGCAACAAGAGCATTTGTGCCCCAAGAGAAGACATTTTGGTTTGTACGATGGCACCAAGTTTATTTAGAACTCGCATGAACATGGGCCACAAAACAAACACTCCGGGAGAACTTTGTGAAATAAGTCCTGCGTAGCAAAACAACTGTGAAAAGGATCAAGGTCGGACATGTTGCAAGAACGGAACATACGCGATGACTCAGGCAAGCATCGTGCGACGTGCGGAAGACGGCAGTTGGTTTACGTAAACAACGTGTCAGGAATGAGTAGGTGGCCATTATCTGAAAACCAAGCGATAAAAAAGGACCACAGATGTTGGGATAAGTTCTTCAAGGTATGCTGGAACAAAGATGTTTATAGATACTCTTAGGCAGAGTGCGTTCACACCATTCGCACCAAAGAGAGATGGTTGGGGACTGGGTCGGGAGGCAGGCGTTGGACTGGAGAGTTGTTCATTTACACTGACGCCTTCGAGAATACAACTCTGACAGGCACATTTACCATAATCGAACTGTGAACACGAATGGCATTTTCATCTCAAGCAACTAATATGCGGTTGGAAATGTCCATAGAAAAAAACATCGACATCGGAACATTCATTCTAAAGGCTTCGGGTTTCATTTAGTATGGCGGTGGTGGACAGTAGCTACGAAACTCCATCTCATCGCTGAAACATGTCAGAACTAAACCAACACGTATTTTCTTTTGAAAATTACGCTTCAAACGCCAGCCCAGCAGGACAATGCAGGAGGATTTTTCCACCGATCTGTCAGAGGGGGTGCGAGTTGCATATTAGTGCGACTCGGATGGAACCAGAAGTGAATAGCATACAAAATGCATAGGTAGGATTTACGGAAGGACCACTACAACCCATAGAAGGAGGCAGTATTGCATCGTTTCCGACCACACCGTACATAAACGGAAGATTCTTGGATGTAAACCACGGGATAAGTAAGGTCTTGCTGTGTCAGTCCATGGTGTTACGTGACCCGCGGTGTTAAAAAATAGAACGGAAATGAATCTCGTGGATGGAACCGGAACCAAGTAGCGAAATATCGTCCTCCAAGTCTTTAACGTATTCTGCGGGAAAAAAATTCCACGCCAGCGGTAGAAGAAATGATGAACGTCTCTTCGATACTCAATTTAATTACGAAGGTGAGGCGGAAGGGTGGTGGTAAACTAAGGGAAATACTCTGCTTAGACTTTCACGCACCCACGGGGATTTGGAGTATGAGGAAGTTGTGGCGGGAAATGTCGGCACAAAACAGCGGGAGCGATTGAATCGAAAGCTGATTTGAGATTTTACAAGACATAAGTCGGTCTTCTTTAAGTTGAGTTGTCGTGCAGCAAAGATGTAGTCAATACATCCATGGCCCGGACAGAACCAAGTTCGCTTTCAACGACTTTGCTCCCACGAGTGCTAGTAAGCCTGTGTATGCGATACCTGTGAGCAACTTAGAGTGGATGGTGATCAAACTGGTACCGCGAGGATTCTCACGTCCGGATTTAAAACTCTCTATGACACGTTCATCTTCAAAATGCTCTCTATGAGCTTTATCCGACTGTGAACGAGTCCTTCTCCTGCATCCTCAAGCAAGGCAAGGACAAGAGGATCAGGGCAGCATGCTTTGTTTCGCTTAAAGAACTTGATGTTGTTTTTGAATTCATCTTTTGTTGGGACCGAGCGGTTCGCGTCCGATTGTGAATCTGTTAGTCCATCGTTATGTTGGTCACCTTAGGCCAGCCAAATTGTTTTTCGAAGTAGGCGGCGGGACTTGAAATAGCCTTTTGAGCCATCTTTTTCCGTAGTGACTTCAATGACCGGCGGCTTTCATGGTCCAGTTCTGAAAATGTCTTGGAAAAGTCCAACTATTTCCAAGGGCCACTGTATTTTTTCATTTATTGGGTTTCCTTAGCCATCACTTCTCCCGCCCAGTCTTGAGAATGGAGATCATAGGTCGTTCAGAGAACTGGTTGGATTGTACTGAAATCACGGTGGGACCACCTACCTCGCCTTCATTAGGGATAGGGATCTCCGTGGGATCCAACCTAGTTTGGGCTGCGGCCCCAACTTTGGATGCCGAATCCGTTGCGCCTCAGATTTCGAACCAGCACTTATTTGGACGACGGGTTTGACTGGTGTTCTTGAGCCGCCTCTGTTGACGAAGATATTGTAGGCGGTGAATATCATAGCGGTGGTCTTCCTATGAGCTGAGAAACGAACCGCGAACAAGCAAGAATCATACTGTCACACTTGTTCAACCTCCACCTTGAAGGTCACGAGACTGTTTGTCCGACCTCCTTCCACTGACCAACCTACTAGGAGACTGTGGGTGTTGAATGGGCATCCTACAGTACGGCTTAATGGGTTACTGAGAAACGCGAACCGTCGCAGCCCGACAGGATCAAATCTGTTTGCGATACCCTCGGTTGGTAGTTTGGGGGGCATACGTAAAGTGTACCATAAAACAAAACACGGAATTTTCAAATCCTTACCTTGTATGGTGATCCAATAAAGGAAGACCTCATGTGGAAAAGTGTGTTATGGAATCCCCTAGTGGTAGCCTCTGTACGGGGTTACAACACTACGCAAGACCCACCGTCGCAGCCGACAGGATCAAATCTGTTTGCGATTCCCTCGGTTGGTAGTTTGGGGGCATACGTAAAGTGTACCATAAAACAAAACACGGAATTTTCAAATCCTTACCTTGTATGGTGATCCAATAAAGGAAGACCTCATGTGGAAAAGTGTGTTATGGAATCCCCTAGTGGTAGCCTCTGTACGGGGTTACAACACTACGCAAGACCCAGTAAATAATTAATTAAAATTAACCGTTCAGCTGTAACACCCTTCAGGTGCCTAGCTGCCATGCCACCCGAAAGAAGGACTAGGGCTGGGATACTGTCAGGTTGTCCAAGCCTAGACAGGGGAAGTTGAGAAGCAGAGGTCGGGTTCGAACCACGGACCTTCCGGTCGGTAAATTGGCGCTCTAACCACTTGAGCCATATCTCCCCAGTAAGAAACGCTATTATAGCTTTCTTATACGGGGTTTTAGGACAATAGTGTATTCCACATACCACCTGAACATTCAGTATGTCCTGTTTAGGTCATAGTGTATCATCCGCTCTAGTAGACATGTCTTAGATATCGATTGTACCCCACGGAGTCTAGCTAAGGAGATACGACGGAAGTGTCCATACCTAGAATTCAAGATCCGATTTTCAACCACTTTTGTTTGAGCTTAGGTGACCTGACGAACTCTGCTGTTGGTTGTGTAGCAGACTTAGTGACAGAACGTTGCAACTGAGCTCCTCGCTTGTACTATTTTCAATTATCACGTATAAGATTTCGAGACTGCAAATTACGGTTCGAGAACCTGTATGAACAACTTCTCGGTTTTCCTCTCCTCTGTGGTTATCCCGGAGCAGTGTTGAGTTTTCACATCTGCAACATAAGTATTGCCCGAAGCAGCAACACACACCGTGCTTTTTCAGTTTTCAACCTACTTCACACAATGCACCCGTCTCAGTCTATCGGGAAATCTCGCTGAACAGGTCGTAATATTCCAGATAATATGGAAATTACTCATGATTTAAGAAACTGTAACTCAGAAAAAGAATGTGGTTGAATAAGAACACGGTAATTTTTCTTGTACTGAAAGAGGCACCAGTTTGTGGGAAACTTGAAATGGTTTTAAGGCGGACTCCGTGAATCGTGAAAAAGTATTCGGAAGATGAAAACTATGCCATACTTTTCCTTAAAAAATGACAGTTTTCCCATTCAAATGCACAACAGATTAAGGAAACCTTTAAGTCGTCACAACTGTAGCCAATGATCTGAAATAACTTCTGCTATATAATATGACAGATGAAGTGCAGACAGAGGGCCCGAGTTCCCAGTTTTTTCGCTCATAATCCAAGTTTTCCGATAAACCAGATGAACGAGTTAAAAGCGGTGGAACAGTTTATTCAGTTAAACCAGCGTGTCACATGGTTTGCTACTGACGATAAGCCAATTTACGAATTCATGGGTCGTAAGGTTGTCACTTTCTTCTGAGGTGACAAAAGCATTACTGCAAGATACTCACTCGCTTGTGATCCGCTGTCGCAAAACATTTTTGGGACAAGGGTTTACTGTTTGCTTATAGCAACTCATTTAGCGTGGAGACGTGAAGCAGTAAGACTCGACGGTGGAGTAAATAAGTTGACTTTTTGTACCCCAGAGCGTCCATGATTTCATGCACAGTATGTCCATTCGATGATACAACCAAAACGGAGGAGGATCAATGCTGATGCTTGATTGCCACATAACGACGAGAAAGAGAATCTGTAGTAATGGAAAGAAAGCAGGAGGATACGAACCTAATGCGAAAAATTCGATGTCCTTATGGAAAACGAAGGAGAGTAGAGGGCATCGAAATCGCAGCATCGTATCGAATTAAGAAACCATCGGCTCGATTGATCCCATATCCTCTGCGAAAATTATCCAACACTATCTGGCGAAATTCCGATGAATAGTTCGGCTAGGCACTTATGCCAAACCTTTTCACGGGTTCAATTTATGTGGAGTTTCTGATGATGTGGCAGGAAAAAGTGGGAACCCTACGCAGGAAGATGAACACCTCGGACGCAGAAGACCTCATTTTTTGCCACCAGGTCATGGCTGTCACGGAAAACTTTCTGCGAACGTGGACGACAAGTGGGAAATCAACTTGACAAGTTTTGTTGGCTGCTCTAGCGATTCCGATTCGTTGACCGGTATTCGCTGCCACATCGTTTTTTTCGGAGACACTGAACCCAACCACTGATACTCTGGGAAGGCAATAGTGATCAAGTGTTTGAAAACGTTTCATGTCTTCAGACCGGAGGCCAAAATTTGCGACCTAGTTTTGCCTTGGAGACATGAGCCTTCGGGATCAGTGAGATTCGATTCTGATGCCACAAATGATGTACGTTGGCAAATACTGCTTGCATTTTGATTTCATCGGTCACACGATAATCGTCATTTATGCAGTTAGCGATATACGTACACTGATCTACAAGCGAAAATCTGTCAATCATATTTCACACCCGGACACCCAACCTCAACGCGATTCCACTCAAGAAGCGATCCTGATGTCACTGCGACTGGTGATGAAACGTTTGTAATCGAATTGCCTTATTCAGTGAACAAACCAACGGCCATCAAATTATACGTTTCGATAAACACTCATTTGCAAATCGAGTTGATGTTGATAGGAGACTTTGTTAAATCTTACTTGGCTCTCTTGTTTGTGAAATTCTATTTCTTGGATTGAAGGTGAAGGTAGTGAGCTGAAGCCATGCCTATTTTCACTCTAATAGCGAAAACAAAGCATCGGGATTTGAAGGTGACGACGAAGTAGTGTAGATGACCATGGGATAAAAAGTTTATTGTCCCTGCTAGTTAACAATTTGACCATGATCGCGCAACAAATATGACTGAAAAGGACCTCGTGGAGCGAACAGTCCTTCGACACGTGAAGTACACACTTTAACAAGCGTAACAGTTCATGTGTAACCGGCATATGGCACACAAGTAGCTTTTTCCAAAAACCGCCAAACAAGCATGGGTTTCACTGATCTGATACTATTCAGGCATTATTGGAGAAACAAAGAAGACTTTGGGGACGGAAGCAATTAATTAATTAATTAATTAATTAATTAATTAATTAATTAATTAATTTGGAGAGAAATAAATTTCTCCAACGTCTGACCATTGAACCGTTTATCTCCGTTCCTTCCTCGTTTTGCGGTCTCTGTAGCCTTTGATCAACTACTGGCAAGACAGCGTATGGAAAAAACCTCCTTGGGCGGAACGCAGGTTTTGCACTCTGACTTAGAAACAGAACGGCTTTCGTCTTTGAACACTTTCCAAGGGTATCGTTGAACATACCCGAATAAGGTTTTAAAAGTTGTTCTGTCAATTTCGAGGGTTGGGAGACATCCGAATTTAAACGGTTGCATACAGTGTTCAAGGGAATTTCTGTCAGCTTGGGCCGGTTCAAATGTGGTACACTGGTCAAGTAACATATTCCAGTGAAAATAATATATTGTTGCACAACACAGAACAGGAAAGCTCACCGATCAACTTTGATTTTCCAACAAAAGCATTTGGATCAACACGATTTGTGGTGTTGAAAGGGGGTCTACCTATTATTTTCCGGGTATCGGTGGCATATACGCGATCTTTGAAGGGGAAAGGTAACGGTGTATACTAATGTGAAGCATACGAGTAGTCTGTGGCAGGCTCCGCCCCCGCATATGATGGAAATTGAAGTTTATTTTAGAAACTGTGGAACTGCTTTGCGGTGTTCGTTTACAATAGTGTAATAGCCAATGAATATCCAGAAACTTTCAAGACGACGTGTGATAATGGTCAGCTGCTAAAGTCTACATGCATATAAGATGTTCATTTTCCTGTCTAGTGATTTGTAATTGCCAAGTTTGTGTTCGCTGATAAATAACTTCGCACCAGGGATACGAGTAACCAAGACCCCTTCCTCATATTGGAGCACAGTAACGCAACGGATCTTAGAAGCTTGTACCCGGAGTACTATTTGGAACCCACAATAATAAACAATGAATAATAATGAAATATGCCTTGATTCCAAAAGCATTGACCAGCAAGGATAAGGTTTACTAATAACTGTATCACTTAGTGGACGAACCCATGAAGACTATCAGTGCTATCGTGTGTTAAGGTGGATTAGGGTCAGAATGATGTCAAGCTCAGGGACTTAATAATCTCTGATCCCCTCAATACGCAATTTGATCTTCCTAAAAGGATGGTCTAATGCGGTCTAGTCCTAAGGGGTTAGACCAATGGACCCGAATCCTCATGGGGATGAGGGGCGTGGTACAGTAACGTAGATAAGGATAGCTGCAAAGATACCCGGTATTACGCAGAAAAGCCACAAAGTCGGTGTGAGAACCCAATTATTCCATGACACCATAAAATTAGTCTTTATTCCCACTACTGAAGTATGGTCAAGAAACCATAAGAATTGCAGTAAATGATGAATTGTGAATGCAGATTCGGGTATGAAAAATAGAACGATCACGAGGAAAATTTAATTGATGAAAAACAGATCACAGCGCATGAGTTTGAGACTCAAAAATTATGTGTTTCCATAGATGCCTTTTTCAATTTGTTCACAGATTGTCCGTACTTGATTGGTGAAAAAATCGAAATTAAACGGTTGATTCGATGAATAGAATGGATTTTTGAGCACATAATCAGTGTAGGCTTCGTAGACACGACGCAACGATTCACGACATGCTGAAGGAAGTTTCGCGTCCGTCACCAAGAGGAACTTAACACCTGTCTTCGATTCCAGACAATGAATGCGGCAAGCGCTCGATTCCAGACTCTGAATTCCGGAATTCCAGATATTTGTCGACTGTGACTTCTCTACAGAGTCACTCGTGTCCGACGAGGAGTCAACGACTGGGCTCAGATGTCGGGCCATCTGATGTAACGGTTGAAACATACTAGCAAGTTGAATGCGATCGTTTGGACGCAATCGTGGTCGACCAAATCTCACGGTTACTGGATAGTTACTTTTGTCCGAGAGAACCTTGACAAAAAAGTTGAAGATTTCGTGATACGATATTTTTTGCTGTCGATCATGACGACCAGATGAGTATAAGGTAACGACAATAGAAAACAACACCCAGCAAACTGCAGAAATTAAAAAAATTCAGATACCTGTGGTGTTCACTAGTTGTACATGACCACTAAAGTGGCTACTTTCTCGTCGGAACAGGCGTGAACCACAATTAAAGGCATAGTATGAAACGACTTCCAGAAAAAGTACCGTTCGGATTTATCATGACCGTTTAATTACGTGGTTATTGTCACATGAGAATATACAACGCATCGGTTATTGAGCGACCATGATCAAGTCAAGGTTTCTTCAAAGAGACTTTCATGCGTCGTAGTCACAGAAACTTGCTGTACAGCCACATGGCAACCTAATCTCTGTAATGATGGAATAGCAGGGCCGCTTGGCACCCAAACTTTAAAACTTGGGTGGCGGCTTGAATCACTTCAGTTGAGTATCGACGGTAAGTTGGTTTAAGCTGCCACTCCACTGACAACCGAAAGGTGAGAGGATCGGGAAGAGTTAGCATTGTAGTGAGGTAATCGTAGGGGCAGTTAAGCGCTGCGGAGTCGTTTCAGCCATCTGGTAAAGTTCGAATTCTGATACTTTTGCAGTAGTGGTGGCTTTATTGAAAGAACGGCTGAGCGAGCTATTCGTATTAGTGTCACTATCGATGTGCATCTGGAAATATCCATTCAGGAATGTAATAGTTGTCGAAGGAAGTGAGCTTGCTGGGTAAGGCTTTCATATCTCGTTGCTGTATCACAGATTGTCCACGTCTCGTGAACGAATTACATGGTGCTTCAGGACTGCTAATCCGAAGTTCCCAACGGAAGGCAATGATTCGGAGGCACCAACGGCTCTATGTACTCTGTGTACACAGGCCGGGTCTTTAATCCACGCAGCAGTATGAGTCGTGCCGACTCTTCTCCACAAATGAACTGACGTCATACGGTTGAGGTGTCGGAAGTCTGCATAGGCTTCCATGGCCTTCTCACACCAAGATGATCTTGTCTTCAACAGTTCCGTTGGAACTTACACAGTCCACATGTCAAGAAAAGCAACTACTCGCCGACATCCTCAAGGAAGAAATGAAAACATCTCGACGCTTCACTAGGGCGTCAATGGCGTCACCAGGGTAGCTCACCAAGCAGATGTAGCACTCGAATTAACATCAATCTATTATTCCCAAAAAACAAACTAGTCTACCTGACTTGTCACGAAAACGGCGAAGACGATGATGGGCTGTCCAACAGACTTAATCAATCCCACAAAGTGTTGTCAAGGGAACTACTTCAATATGTTGAATACAGTCCCAAAATGAAAGATAAGGCGGCCTTTGTGCAACATCCAGTCGGAAATTATTATAAACATATCCGACAGCGATTCACTTGGATCCCCCCATGGACACTATTTTAGTTCGCCAGTGTTTACCTGCAAGAATGACTGCTATTACTTAGTTGAAATAGTGGCGCTATCTAAGAACCAAGCTCGTGCATTTTTATCTATGGTGAATTTTACCCTAGACCTAAAGGATTTTTCTCTCACATTTTCTCTCGCAGATACCCTGTTGCGCTCAACGAACAACGCTTTGAATCAGATGCCTGTTGCTAAGGCTCGCTCGTGTCAACGTTCTACTGAAGCTCACAGGATTACTTCAGAGACTGTGTTGAATAAAGCTAGCTGAATTGCTCGGTCTGTGGAAGAGCATTCAACGGAGGTTGTCAGTGGCTTTCATGTTCCAGCCATTACCTTGGTCAGAGGACTGGGAGAATAGTCATAAAGAGTGAAAGTAATCTTGCTGAGAAAACCACCAGGAAGTTCATAGACTTGCGGGTAGTTGTCTATCTTCAGCAGGTGAAAAAGCTTTTCGTGCGTGTTCCCTGTTGTACTGCTTTGGTCACACTACCGCTGAGCAGGAGCGTACACTCAGAGACCTGGATCGTGCTCCAAAGCCTTGCCAGTAGATCGGCCAGTAGCTCGTAGAGTACAGCCACTGTTTTACTTTCATCACGTGCAGTCGACGTTATTTTGGGACAAGAATGTGATTTACTATCAGTCACTTATTCCCAATTCCAGAAGATTTTGTCCGTCAAAGTCATCAGGTCGTTGCTTATCTCAAATGTTCAAATGTAGTGCAAGGAAAGTCATCCCGCGTGGATATGAACCATCTGCCATAGCAACATTGGTCTGACAATACTAGCTTTACTAAGATAGATTAAAGATCTACTTAGGAGAGGAATTCACGAATTTATGATGTTTCAAGAGAGCTGTAGGTTTAGCCACCCACGCCGATAATCCTTTGACAGCGCAAAATATCGATAAATGTTTGACCTCCGAAACACCCAGTTTTTTATGGTGACAGTTCTGTGATGATAGCGGAAGATATAAACCAACATACTGAACAGCCTTACTTGGAGGATCTCGCGACCGTCTTCAAGAAAAGTTCCACCTGCATCGATGTTGTTGATACTTAGAACGGCGTAACCGGGTCTCACTTCATCCACAGTGCCAAAATCAACATAAATCCTGCCATCAACGCTAGCTAAACGCAGCGGCATCGGATAGGAAAAAGTTTTCTCTGCTGTGGTGACTGAAACCGAATGGTCATAGTAGAACTGCAACGATCCAGATTCGCTAATCACATACAATGAATGGACGCTCATTGGGAAAGTTCGCTTGAAGAAATGCTATGGACCTTAGCAGCTTGAAGATAGCCGATGGTGTTCGGTCTGTATGCAAAATTACTAACCCAAAAATTCACCGCAAACCGGAGGTGTGGCGTGCAGTTTAACAGAAAACCCTGTAAAGCAAAAAAAGTAAAAGGGCAACAGTAGCGAATTGCAGTTCAGTTAGTCATGGTGTATGGACAGAAGAATAAGGGTGTAAAAAGTTGGCATGATAGCCAGAGGAGTTAAATCCTTGCATTGTGTAAGGCACCGCACAGACTTTTGGAGAAACTGTGAAAGATAAATTGTGCGGGCAACGTTCACAGATTCTCGGTTGCAACAGATATGAACATCAGGATTTCGAACTCCCCCAGTTTATCGCATCCTCTCCGATGAGAAGATCAAACATAACTGGAGTGAATGAGCCTGAATGGAAACTGGTAAGTTCCCTTCGTGTTTGATGCTTGCACAAACATGAATACAAAGTGAACTGATGTGGTTGAAGTTCGCAAGCCTGGCATGTGACGCTGGTAGTCCCGTAACCAAAAATGGATGGCGAGTTGTGGAGTACATGTTGTTGGCTAAGGTTGCAATTGGAACAGAAATTGTCACGTGTTTTGAGTATTGTGACGCGTAATCTAGTGGGTGACCGCTACACTGCCACATTGTGGGGACTGACTTTTAGCGACAAGCCTACCTTCGAGTTGCCTAAGCTTAATGAAAAAGGAAGGGATTTCAGAGAATTCAGCGTTGCCATCCGACATGACAGAAGAAGCCAGATGAGTAAAGCTCAAGAGAGCTCAGTGGTTAAGGCACCCGCTTACGGACCGGAAGGTTCGTGGTCCGAACCAACCTCAAAATCTTAACTACTCCTGTCTGTGCTTGGTCAACCTGGCAGTACCTCAGTCCTCGTGCTTCCTTTAAGTGGCATGGCAGCTAGGCTCCGAAAGTCTTTCAGCTGAACGATTATTAACATTTTTTTATTCTGTCCAAATGTGATCAATTGTGTTCCCTCCCAACACAACATAAGTTTTCAGGCCGAAACGTTCAGTACCGTACACAACATTGTACAGTGTTGTTCAGGAGCCGGACGAACTAATAGTGGTGCTAAGAAAGCGAACGGATTCATCAGCTTGTGCACAGAATTTTCCACTGGTCTCAATGTTGCATGGCATACACATCAGTATGTTCCCTCCAGATATGCTCATTAAACTGAATGAGGTAAATGTTCTACATATACTGCTTTGGTTGAGCGTACCTGCAGACAGAAATTAAGGAGAAATCCCGAGGACTTTGACCACTAGTATATACTTCGGTCTGTTTCAGTATACTGCAACTGTATCACGACAGTTGCAGCCATATTTCAACAAATCATAGATGTAGTGCTGAAGAATGTCCTAGGTTTTACCGTTTAGTTGGGCGATTTATTCGTCATGGATTCCGGGGCCGACTGATTGAAGCGGCACCTTGGTTACGTGCTCGGTCGCAACCGAGAATAGGGACTTTAGAATACGCCTAGAAAATTTGCTTCATTAATACGACCAATAAGTTACCTCAGCTGCATCAGTGACGATTAAGGCCACTGACCAGACGGGTGAAACACTGACGTTATCATGCCCGCACCTACAGACTTGGCAAGCTTCTATTCGTTTTTTGGTCCCATTATCTACTGCAACTGGTTTCTGTCAAACACTCATCGCGTCTGAGGCTCCTCACCAAGCGCTACAAGTAAACATGATCAGAATTCCTACGAACCTTCGACTTTCCGAGATCTATGCTGAGCTATGATTGATCCTCACTCAATGGTGTCGTTCATCAGAAAATGTCACGGTATCGGGCGTTTCGAACTAAGGTACTGGCGCAGTGGTCTCGCATGTACTCCATGACAGTAGGCAGAAAACCATTGCTGATATGACCAGACTCTCGATATCAGCCAAGCGAAATGGCATCCAAATAGGGAGCTTTGGCTATCGGGTTTGACGTCAAAATATTCCACCAAGTGCACTGTGACCGTCAGTTTAGCCTACTGACTGGTCACAAACTCCGTCAGTCAGTCAGTATATCAGCTATAAGCCACGTAGCAAGGGCACATTGGTTCGAGCTGCTACAGTTTTGGTCACTGAAGAATGGGAGCGTGGAAGATACAGCTAAGCATCCGAGGTGGTAGTATTATCAGTTACGTCGCATCATATGGTGGGCTAGAGAGAACAGTAAAACGGATAGCTGCACACTATATGCGACAGCTTTGATACATGAGCTTGAATGATCCACGTCTGACCGTATTCGATCAGCTGTAGCACCCTTTCGGTGCCTAACTGCCATGCCACCTGGAGATTGCACGAGGGCTGGGATAATGTCAGGTTGTCCAAGCCTAGACAGGGGAAGTCAAGAGGTAGAGGTCGGGTTCGAACCACGGACTTTCCGGTCAGTGAATTTGCGCCCTAGCCACTTCGGCCATCTCGCCCTCTGGTGAACTGAGTATCGGAGCCTCCACCCAGAGACAGCAGTTGTTGACCCAATTGCGTCCCCTGGTTGGTGTTTTCATAGTTCGTTGTCACATCGCATATTGTCCATATCTCGGCTGCTTATACTCAGCACAGGGATGGGCGAGAAGGGCTTTGTGAGACAGACGGTCCTTTGACATACGAGGTGCATGTCCTAACCAGCGTAGTCTATGAAGAGTGAGTAATTCATCCACCACGCGGGTTCTTTTTTTCCCAATACCGCCTGGCATACTTCAGCATTGCTAGTCTCAACAGACTCGCCCAGTGATTTGGAGATACCAATCATCAGACACTGGCAGCTTTTGTATGTCCTCTGCCAGGTTTCTGGTTCACAAAGAAGTATAAACCGCACTGCCGGAGAGTATAAATGAAAATGGACCAGCTATAGCACTCTTTCGGTGCCTACTAGCTATACCACCCGAAAGGAGCACAAGGGCTGAGATACTGCCACACATAATATAATAATAATAGAGTAATAACAGTAATAATAATGATTCAGTTGTAACATCTTTTCGACACCCAAAAAATACTGCAAGGTTGCCCAAGCCTAGCTAGAAGTCGAGATGCAGAGGTCCAGTTCGAACATCGGACGTTCCAGTCAGTAAATTTGCGCCCTAACCACCAAGCCATCTCGAGTCACAGTGTATACTCTGTTCTTCACAAGTAAAATGACGTCACACATGTGCCATAGGTGTCGGAGGTTGGCGAAAGCTGTCCTGGCCTTCCCGACTCCAGAAGTAATCTTAGCTCCAGCAACTCGACTGGAACTTATACAACTGCTCAGGTGAACACATTTATCTACTACATCCATCGGCTCGTCTGCAATCATGATGTTTGGGTATGGTCTCACCCAGTCTTGTAGCGGTACCTTAAATTTTGTGTGTGTGAAGTGCATAGCAAACCGTGAGGTAGAATCATCTAGGTTATGTAAAATGAGGTGCACATTTGAAGGACCTGAACCAAGGATAGCAACATCGTCCGCATTCTTTTCTTTTGACGGACGCCCGGGAGAATTTCGATCCTCGATGTCTTAGAGACCGTGTTGTGTCTTGCTGAACGGTAGTGCAACTCTATATCGGTCCCTTGACTTCCTGCTCCGCCCACTATGGTATATCAAAAGGCACGGTAGCTCTACGCAGCCCTTTATGGAGAAAAAATTATAACTGTATTTATAGGGTAATAACAGAGTGTTCCACAAGCTCGTGCTAGAGGTGCAGTCCTCTGCGAAAACGATCCTCATGGGAGCGCCACAAAAAGAATTACTTCTTGGTGCCGCCACCCAGCACCCACGGCCTCACAGAGACACCTTACCGATCACACCGCGCCAAAACGCCCAAGAAACCAGAAAGACGAAAGCTTGCCCCCAAATCTCTGGTCAACAGCAAACCTAGTCATCTAAAAGGCGGTGTTGAAAGAGCCACAAGTGCCAATGGTCGAAATTTTCGCCCACGGGAAAAGACTTCGCCCCCAAAGGTAAAAGTCCCGAGCAAACCGGGGTCCCACACGGCGAAAAAACCTGAAAATGAAAAGCATTCCCCGAAACCACCAAAAGAGGAAGCAGACGAGTATGACCCAGTATGACCCGTTTGGAGCCTTGGACTCAAACCCAACGTGCAACTATTAACTCTGCTAACCTCCCTGGTCAACTATCGGCTCCTCAACCTCAAAGGTAGCAGAGACAGCGTTGAAATGCTTGCCACAAACTGTATCAGCCTTTTCAACAAACTTTGTGATATTAAACAGTCAACTTTTCTTGAACAACCGTATATAATCGCACTGACAGAGACTCAAGCCAGATGTCTCTGACGCGTAGATCTCGATAGACTGCTGCTCTGCTTTTCGAGGGCTGGTGGGGTTAGTTTTTGCTTACATGAGGCCCTACCCATCCCGGCTGTCCTCTTTGATACCACTCCTGCACCTTTTTGCGATGCACTGTGGATCCAAATCCCGCTGCGTGGATCCGATTCTCTTCTCCTCGGTGTGGTCTGCCGTAGCCTCTCGAGTCCCCCTGACGATGACCAGTTCCTCATACGAAACCTTGAGCAACTCTCCTCTAGCTAACAATTCACTCATCTCCCGCTGGTAAGCGACTTCAACGCTCCAGAGGCCTCCTAGATGGAGCTCCAGCGCGTCGGATTAAGTGGACTTTTTGCAGCGGCGCTGATTGAAGTCGTTCAACAGAGCGCTTGGACTCAACATGTCGTTGCACCCACCAGATACCGCGCAGGTTAATTGCCATCCCTCCCGGATTTGGTCACCACCAACGAAAGACAATTCGTTGATCAGTAATAGTTAACGCTCCACTATGTGCTGACCTTTGATTTCATCTGCTATTGGGCCAGAAATCCCAAACCTCAAACGTGCAGACTTCTCGAGAATGCGCACCTCTCTTGAACAAGGTAAACTGGGACCAGCTTCAGTGGAAGAATTATATAGGACCATTGTCCAGAAAGATCCCACTGACACGATGTTCGTCCCAAAAAAACCAGCAAGCAGTCGGATGAACCGCAGGCTGCCAAAAATGATTCGGCGTCTTCTGGAAAAGAGATCTCAAATTTTTTTTGAAAAAATTGGCTATAGAAGACACAGATGAGCTGGCATTTCGTAAAATGCGGAACCTCT